CCCCAAAACCCCAAAACCCCAAAACCCCAAAACCCCAAAACCCCAAAACCCCAAATTATAATAAAAGGATTGAAATAATAACTAAGGTGAAATTACTGACTACTGATTATTTCTTCAGATGCTTGAGACCACCAGAATCATCCAGATTAAATGTTTTCTTCTGGTTAGGACGTAAGGAGACATACCTAATATTAAATAAAAAACTTACTTTTTAGGGCCGGCTTTATCACTTCTGACTATTATTTCAATACTCGGCCTTTTTCCTTTTCTCTTGCTTTCTAGATTAGTTAAATAGAGTTTTCAAAAAAGACCCAAGCTGAAGACTAGCTTACTTTTCTGGCTTACTCTTCTTCCTTTATAGAGAGACTTCTTCTTGGCTGGCTTATAAAACTGAGATGTGTTCTTCTTGTTCTGAGAACCTAAAATTGGGTAAAAATTGTGAATAATTTCCTTAAATTTTACATAAATATTGTTTTCCTAGATTATAAAATAACGCTGACAGAATTATCTTGGATTTCAGGGTAATAATTATGGTTAGACTAAACCAGGGCATCCAACAGAGCATCTAAATTAGCTGATTTTGTAACTCTTATGAAAATTTGTGCTAAAGGTATAAAAATCTGTATCAGAAGCTGCTTAAATAATTTTAAAGAGTGATAAATAATAATAGTAACCAACTCTTACTTTTGTTTCGAAATAATTTTGGCTTTCAAATTCTTCTTTCAGACTGATGTCTTTTATACCTAGATCAAAGAATTTAAAATCAGTATTAACTTGAGTAAATCAGAGAATTCTTTTCATAAAAACGCAATCATTGGTTATGATAAGCTATTCCAGATTTTAAGAAGTTTATTCCACTAGCAGACTTACGCTTTACTCATTTTCGACTCTAATGAATCTGTCTTTTCACTAATCTTAGCCATAATTCTACTTAAATTGCTTTCTTTCTTTGGGCTAAATCTTCCAAGATATTGATTATTTGGTAATGAAGCTGAAAAATTGACTTTTGCTGACTCTTCTTTGCTAGGGTTTCTTTTTCTAACAACATTAAGCTTCTCTTGAGTCACCTTTCTCTTATTCTCTTCTGATTTCTTTTTGAACAACTTTCCAAGGCCAATGAAGAATCTCGTGGTCTCAGTCTTCTTAACTTTTCCTTTATTTTGTCGCTATTTCATTAGGATGAAAGTCTCTTTGATATTTTATTTGATTGATCTTGCTATGTTCTCATGGGATCTTCTATGTGTTATCAGGGACCAAATAGGATGGTTGGGAATAGTGTTAGGACATATTAGCTTTATTGATAGTGCTTTAGGTCTAAATTACTTACTTCTTCGGGGACTGAGTCCATTTGACAAAAATATATTAATAATGGATAAAAAATATTCAATTTGTGCCTTAGTGAATGGGGTTTTGGGGTTTTGGGGTTTTGGGGTTTTGGGG